GGTAGTAGCAGCGTCTTGGTTTCAGTTTCTCCATGTGTGGTGGTGGTGGTGCTTGATTTTACAGATGATTGTACGGCTTCATGTCTTTCCATTTTCCTTTTGCGATTTGTGTAGTTGTATGTGTTTCAGGATTCTATTCCAGCGTATAACGTTGAAGGTAGGAGATCGAGGGTTTTGAAATTTGAATTGCCAACGGTTATCTGTTACACAGACAAGTGGATTTTCGTTTTAAGAAGGGTAGAGACTTAATAGTACATTGAAATGACTGAAATAGCCTCCGCCATCCGTTTGGCTTGGGGCATTTCTTTCATTCTTTGTTTTGGTATATACATATATATATATATGAAAATAAAAAAGAAACTACAGAAGAATGTGATTTTGTAAAAATTTTAAAAGGAGTTTACCTTTTTTTGAGTTGTCAACTATACTGTAGAAATGCTGTAAGCCTACAAAATTTGAGTCAAAGCATAAGGCTGGATCCACAAACACACTTATTGGCTTCGGCTCCGTCGTAAAGACTATAAAGCATAGAGGAACGAGGTTACAAATTCAGCTGTTTCTATAACAAAGACATTTACAAACCATCCATAAAAGCCAAATGTTCTGATTAAAGCAAAGGACAAACTTTCCAGACATGTCTAGCATAAGTACACTTTCTAAATAGATGGTTAATGTCTTCCTCATCCACCGCACACCATGGACATATAGGATCAACTGGCATGCCTCCTTTTTTTTTTTTTTTTTTTTTTAATAATCTACAGCAGACAGACGAAATATCTCTCATCATTAACCACGTTAGATGTTTAATATGTGGAATAGCATTTGACATTTTAGAGAACAGAAGACTTCGGCTGAAACTCTTTTCAAGCCTGGACCGAGGAGAGGGGATGAAAGACTGGAAAAATGGTTGGTCATTGAGGCCTAGCCCTTAAAGAAAAAGAAAGGATAAAGAGAGAAGAAAATGGAAGCAAGAAAAAGGAAAGGGGAAAGGAAGAGGGGTGGGTTCGGGCATATCCTTTTGGGCTTGGGTAATTGAGATTTTTGGTTTGAATAAATCAAATTTTCATTTGGGTTATTTTCCTTTCAGTTTTGGATCATGAAAAAAGGATTTATGCATGTATTTGTGACTGTAATTTAGTAGTCATAGATATGGCTAATTTGGTGTAAGTTAAGGATTTCAATTGTGTATGTACAGATATAAGCAATATCGACGTGATTGTTTCCTTTTCTCAACTCAACTACCTCATATATGTATATATATATATATATACATATATTCTTTATCATATCAATACAATAAAAAATGTAGTGATTCTTAATTAAAAAGTTTTGTTTTTCCCTTATTGCCGATGATGTTCCATTCGAGGAAGCCTACTGAGCAAAGATCAACACAATCGATGTTTATAGATTCAAGAAACCAAGGAGAAAGGCCTGAGATTCTGACTTGCAAAGCCCTCAATGGGAGGTTTGAGTTTCCCAATTCAAGCAATTTTTCTAGGCTCATTCATTCAGCCATAAGAAGGCAGAACAAGTGAAGCCAAATGAGGGGCAATCAATGAATGAAGGGGAATTTTGTTTTGGGAGCAAATTGGGAGAAAAAGAGAGCATCTTTAGTCTTTTAAAAAGGAGAATCCTCTAGGCATCATTAAGGCAAAAAAAAAAAAAAAAAAAGGCTAAGGAAAAAAAAAGAAGAGAAAACATAACCAAAAACAAAAACAAAAATAGAATAACTAAAAATGAGAATTGAAAAAAAATAAATAAAAGAAGTACTAAAGGAAACTGAGAAAGAAGGTCGGAGAGATGATCAAACCAAGCCATTTAGGAATTTTCAGTATAGGTCTAAAACCTTATGTTCATTTATATTAGTGATTAAACATTTACAAAAGGATGAAACTTGAACTTATTTGGCGTATGAGATATGAGTACATTGTTTGCATGATTTTATGGGCTGAATGTATATAATACTTAGAATTTGTAGTAACTTTTTAATGCAATTTGATTAAAGATTGTACAGTGTTATATGCTTCTGCTGAATTGAAAATGAGGATAAAATTTTGATGTTAATAATATTATAAATGCATTTGAATAAATGAACAGTGAGATAATTGGGTTTATACTTCATTGTTTAAAATTGGTAGTGGATAATATGTGGGTTTATAGTACTCTTGCTAACGCATCCATATCTTATCAAGAATCTAGATAATAAGACCAAATAGTGGCTACAATATGAAATTCTTTTTTTTTTCATCCTTTAAATCATATCTTATTTTTGAATCTATTGAATTATCTCAAATATGTTTACGTTTCTTATTTTTCACCAAACTCAAAATTTGTCGTGTTTAGGACATCTACACTGATCTTAAGTCCTTACTTTAAGTAATGAAATCTCATGTGATATCCAATCTATTTTTGTTCTCCTAATTAATTCTCATGTTATTTTTTAAAATTTTTAAAAAATATTTTTACAACTTTTTGAAGATTTGAATATTTTGTTTCTCTAAATTTAGTTGTTTTTCTAGGATCATGTGAGTCAGTTTTAAAGTGTTAAACTCTTACTGGTCATTCACTTTTTTCCATCAACTCCTGGGGTGATTTCTCCTGGGTATTCGAATCAATTTAAAGTGTAGGTATATTTTGACTATTGATTTTACTTTTGAAAATGCTAATTATTCCTCTTGAAAGTTTTTGAATTTCTTTTGAAGAGCCAAATTGGTTGCCCATAGTGATAAGTATAAAAGGAAACTAATATTTAGAAAGCTTAATAGGTCTTTATAGTATCTCTATTTTGTGTTTTGTGTTTCTTTTCCTTTTACTTTTATCTGTGCTATTTGTCATTATTTAAGAATAAGTTTGTCCATCCTCATCCTTTTGTGTATTCGTTAATTTCCTTTCCTTTAAGTTTAATCTATTTAATTAGGTTAGGGATATTTAAAATGATAATGTATGAGTTTGAATTCATTTTTTTTAGTCAACCCTACCTAAGGATAATATCTAATATTGTTAGTGATTGTTTAAATAGAAAAATCAATGTACTTGTCGCTGCTTGAAAAATAATTGGATATAAAATAGGGAGTTGTGTCAGTTATTTACATGTGTTATCCAATAGGGATTATTTATGTTTAAAACATAAGTTTTTTTTTCTTTTTTTGCATTTTCCGTTCTTTCCTTTTCTTTGTTAGTTTTTACATTCTAAAGGCTTGTTCGGATGTTATTTGAAGAAGAATTTTTTTCTTTTTTGTGTGAGAGTGAAAGAAATAGATATTGTTTTAGATTCATTGCATCAAGTGATTGTCTTGGTGTGCATTAAACAAAAAATTAAAATATTACCTACTTTTTTAGGGGTAAAACAAAGTAAATAAGATAATGATTGTCATATAGCTTTTAATAAAAAAATTTTATAGAGTTATTTTAGGTTTTAGTTTTATGTTTTGGACGTTTAATTTATTCATATATATTTATTTAGTTTTAGTTTATTTACTTTCTTTCATTTATAAATGTCATGGCATCCATTTCTAAAACCGATGTTAAGTAATGGGTGTCTTACACCTTCTCATAGAGTCTTGTTTTAAAGCTTTTGGTTTCTCTTCAATAGATCAATGTATATTTTGGTGTCCAATCCTAACATAAATGGATTGTTGGCTACTTTCTTTTACATTTCTAAAAAAATTATCAATTTATTTAGTCTTCATCAGCATGCTTATGTGCTAGATGATCTCGAGCAACTTACCACGATTGATGTTATGAGAGTTTCTTGACTTAGAATATACATGAAGAATTCTTAATTTTTTAGACTTTTGTCTCTCTTTGTGAGAAAATAAAAAATATTTTAACGGAGTTTTAGTTGTGGGTCACGGTTGTGACAGTTTATAAACAACTTTGAATAATTTATTTCAAATTTTTTTCATTTGATAACATAAAAAATTAGATGCTTATTAGGTTTTTAAAAGTGATTCTAAGAAAATAAAAGCTTATACTAGCTCCTCATTCCTAACTTTTAGTTCTTACCTTACTTTTTTATCTAACAAATTTATTTAAATTCTCTCTCCATTTTCACTTGAAATTAACAATATATATAATAATATTCCAAATTGTAAAACATTTTTAATAAACAAATATTTTTATTAAATTTTTTACAAATAACTATTTCCAATCAACACTTTATTCTTAAACACATAATTACTTATTTTTTGAATAATAATTAAAATCAATGTATTTTAAAATAAATTAAAACATTAAATTTCTTTAAACCGTCTCAAACATCTTAGTAAAACTCATAACCGGCGTATAAGGGTTCCAAGCTTTAAAATAAGGCTTACTCTTATATGTATATATGTATATATATATATATATATAATGGTCTTAAGCTTAAGGTGGAATATCTAAGAAACTCAACATGTTTTCTCATCATGGAGATAACCAACAAAGATAAAAATCATAAATTGTCAATGTAATAAAGATTTGCCTTTGAATAATTATTTAGTAATCACGTGGATCATAATTGATTGTAATAATTATTTATGTAGAATTGCAAAGAAGGAATACACACATATATACATACATACATACATACATATATATATATATATATATTCTTTTTCTTCTTTTGTTTTTCCTTTCGGGTGAATTTTTATGTAATAGAAACATGTGATTGGGGAATTTGTCTTATTGAAATGATGAATTTGATCAAGTTGAAAAGGGAATTAATAGAGAGACCTTTTGGTTGGTCTAGCAGGGAATCAAAAATTCAAAGATGATTAATGTAACTCTTTCATTTTCCTCAACTAATCTTACTATTTAGTTCAAAAAATCATAATTTAAATCAATAATTGCAGTTTATGAGCATTATTAAATTACTAGCTCCTGTTCTAGGGTAGTGGGAAGCTGACTCTTCAATGATGCTGAATTTTATTCCAACATGTTCAACTGCTTTTTTATAGAAGCCAAAATTCATATTTGTACCCATTTTCTTTTCCTAATAATCTCAAACTTTCTTCTAATACACCCACATAACAAAAGGCTCTATGAGTTTAAAACCCAATAATGAAAGAAGAACAAAAAAAAAAAAAACTCGACCGATTAGTGATATAATCATACCGAATTTAAATAAAATATCATAATTTATTATGTTTTTATAAGATAAAAATTACTTGACAGTTTAATAAAAAAAAATACTTTTTCTTAAAAGTACAAAAATTTTCTCGATGTTAGAAAAAAAGTTTATCTATCATCATCCATTTAGCTCTTAATTCATTGGGAACGAGGCCTTTGGAGAAGACAACAACAATACATGAAACTGAGTTTATCAACAATTGTCATTATTGTAAACTTTCCTCCATGTTCTTTTCTTTTCTTTTCTTTTTGTTGGTTTTGGATGAAGTTTGAGGTTTTTCCTTGAAATGCTTGAATTGTTTTGACTACCCAAGCAAAGTACTGATGAGAAAATCATAAACAACCCACACCAAGTGTAATAATGATGATTGAAAAAAATAACTATATATAGAAGCAAATTATATTAGAAGAAGCCTCCATTGAAATTAACTTGGACTGTACAAGACAAATTTTGATGCTTAGTAGGTCCCAATATTATTTAAAAGCAAAGCCTACCCAGTAATTTCTTACCCAAATATGTTAGCAGAGTCTTGTGCTGGAGGATCTTGTGTACTTCTTAGAAGAAGAAGCAGAAGAAGAAGAAGAAGAGGAGGAGAAAGACAAGTCACCTGACCTTCTTCTCAACATCTGTCTCATACCATCAGCCACTTGAACTGCAGGGTTTGATCTGAATTTACCACAAAAAGAAAAGTGAGCTTTTACAGCTTCTTCCATGGCGGATGGCAGCTTCTTCGACCTTCTTCCAACTTCATCTATAACAGCTTCTGAACACAAACCACACAGCCATTTCCCACCAAACTTAGCCTTTACTTCACTTATATAGTCTCTTGTACAATCCTCTTCTAGCCCACAACATTCACACTGGGCAGATTCAATCTCCATTTTTTGCTTTTCGTTGAGATGGGTCTGTGTCCCTTCATAGGTTTTTATAGTGGGGAGACGAGTAGGGAAAGCTGCCTTAATTTCCTCCATGTTCTAAGAAACATGGGGAGTGGAATTTCAGGCACACTGGTCGGAGAGGGGCCAAAACATTTAAATACTTCCAAACTCACCCTATTTTTATTTTAAAATGTTAACTTTATGCCACTTCTTTTCACTCTTTCATTTGGCAGTTACCTTCGGCTGCCATATATTATATTATAGGATGTTATTATACATATATCTTTTTGCTATAATAGAGAAAATCATAACATGAAGAGATCTATTGCCCATTTAACAACCCTTAATCAGTACTACAATTATCTAGATAGAGGTGGATGTCAAGGTTCACTTTGTTCTAATCCAGTGGGATAGTGCACAATGTTATGACGGTAAATCCTCGAGCTAAGTATAGTTTTGTGCATGTGTTGACTTTATTATGCGTGGAGGATACTTAAATTTTTAATTACAGTCCGAGAAATTTCTTGATCCAAAACTCAATTATCATAATAGATTTATTAAATTATTACGTGAGTTACTTGACATACGAAAAAAAATCGACTTTAGTAAATATTTTATTGAGTTGCAAACCTTTTAATAATACTCAGGATCCTACAATCACGAGCTGATTGATGCCTAGTTTGCAATCAAATTTAACTACCATTTTCCTTAGTTGTAATTTTACGATGACTACTAATATTATATATATTTTTTTATTTAGTCAGTTGTAGTTGTGGGTTGATACTTGTTTTCATACTTTGTTGACCAGATTAGCCAGAGTGGTTCAACTAAGTAATTGATTAGGCAGAGACTCTTGTTTCAAATATATAAAGAACTAATCTTCAAGTTTTTTGGGATGCAAAAATCAATATCCACATGCATGTACATATATATATATATATATATATATATATACATATAGATATAGATATATTATATTTTATCATAAGAATTGAAATAGGGTGTATTAATAGTGGGGAAGGACAGTTGAACGTGACAAGCATGACCCAACACCAAGTTTACTTTCAATGTTGTCTTGCAATAATGGTAAACAACCCTTTCACATCATTACATCATTGCAATATATATATATATATATATATATGTAGTGTTGTTTTATGTTAAAAAATTAAAACTTTAACATGCATGTGTATATGAAATCTTGATTTGAGAGTTTTAACTCAACTTTGCATGTATATGTGTGTGTGTGTGTGTGTATGTATAAGCAC